GGTTCATAAAAACATATTTTCTTTTGTCAGAAACAATGTTAACTAATCTCAGTTACATGTGTAATAAATATTAAAGAATAAGTTTTATTTTATTCTAAAAAAATTTCCGACAATAGATTTTTTATAAATATGAGTTTGAATTAATTGAGTGAAATGATGAATCATTTATTGTTACAACCACCATAAGAAACATGGAAGTACTAGAACACTTTTTCCTTCCTTATATTGGACCCTTCATCGGTGCGCATCTACGACCTCGCACCTCAGAATCGCTTGTGTACGCTCAACCTCCAGACCACTGAGCCGGTGTCTAATAGTGGGTGATGTCTAACTTTGATCAATAAATAGTCTAGCACAACCTCATCCAAGTTCGAAGGTCCTGAGTCGCAATTCCACTTGCGTGGGTTGTGTTGTATGGGCGCTGTGGATGAAACCCATACTAGGATGAAACAGCCGTCCACTGTGCTTCCAGGTTTCTAATGCTAGTCTAAAAATGATCGATTCATAATTTCAATGAAATTCAATTATTTCACATCAGTATCCTTTATTTTATATGGCACCGTTTCACCAGAAAAACGGAGTGAAAGTTGGTGCCCAACTATTCATTTTTTTTAAGGCTAGGGAATTTATTGTAAGTGAACAGTTAATAGTTCTTATCTGGCCCATTGTGACTAATCATATAAATCTGTTGTGAAGATTTGTATCGTTTAGTTTACGTTTTCTCTTTAAAAGGACGTTTTTTTACTTATTATTATTACTGTCCAAGATTAATGAGTTTCATATCATCTTCTAAAATAATTAATTGTATATTAAATTACAAATCTTTGTTTGAAACAAATATTTTATGTGAATATATATATTCATAGTGTACATTTAAGGACAGAATTTCATCTTTCCCTGATAGCAAATTCACATGTTATAATTCATGTATTCTGCATTGAACCGATTGATATAATTAATTTTTTATTGTATTAAGATAGAAAATTTTGATTTATTTTAACAAAAGGTCGTTGTAATGTATCATTAATTTTTTAGTGGGATAAATATACACAATAAAAATTTACGGTGAATTATTTTTAGTTCATCAATGTAATCAGTTATTTGATTGGATTAGTTGTGTGTCTGTGTGTCTGTCTGTATGTGCGTGTGTGTTAGAACACTTTCCAACAAATCATTGGGTTTATACGTTCTTTTTGTAGAACAACTTTATATGCAGTACAGGAGTTTATAGAATGAACTAATATAGGATTTAGTATTGTGAATGTTTTCATTTTTAAGGTGACTGAATAAATTACATTTTTGTAGATTATTTTTTTTTAAACAACTACTGACGAGTAAACAACAGTTTACAAGACATAACTTCACGCACAAGACCAAAGGTCCCGGGTTCGGATACTGTGAGGTACAGGAGTCGTGGATGAGCTTTGCTACTGATGAGTCCCGTAACAAAACGAAACAGCCATCCAGTGCTTCCAGGCTTCTAATAGTGGTCTAACCACAATATAAGGTTAAACAGTCATTGTTAGACCACCATTAGAAACCTGGAAGCACTGGATGGCTGTTTCGTCCTGACATGGGACTCATCAGCAGTGCATATCCACGACTCCTGCACCTCGCAGGATTCGAACCCGGGACCCACGGTATTTTGCGACCCCTAGATCAATAAGAGTTAGACATTAACACCGTTGGATGCTGGCCCAGTGGTCCGATGGTTAGGCGTTTGCGCATAATACCGTGGGTCCCGGGTTCGAATCCTGCGAGGTGCAGGAGTCGTGGATGCGCATTGCTGATGAGTCCCATACCAGGACGAAACGGCCGTCTTTCAGTGCTCCTAGGTTTCTAATGGTGGTCTAACAATGATTGATTGATTACTTCAAATGTGTAAAAACACTAATCTCGATAACTCTAATTGAAAACATAAATTAATATTATACAATATAGATATTTTGCTTTATGGATTTTGGATACACTGTGAAAGTCACAAAGACGTTTGAAATAATTAACAAGTACTGAGGACCAATTTTACTACGCTTTGAAGAGAGCACTAAATACTTTAACTGGTATTGGAGAAAATCTCTAGCTCGAATGGATCCTTTGGGTGAAGTCTCGTTCTCTTAGCTGGACGGTTTGATAGTGGAGCTCCTCAGCAAACTGCAAGTTGATGTAAAGTATTCGAGTTTCTTCATTCATGATAAACAACTTGTTCTGTCGACCTTGATCATGATTGGTTATTGTCGATCTTTAGACTGTGTACATTTTTATTATGATTGGTTCTTCTCTTGACCTGGTTCTTCGTCGTATATTCGTCCATGATTTTTCTCATTATTTGATAGACTAGATCAATTTGAATGCGTTTGTTGGTTGCTGATTGA